GACCCTGGATATCTGATCAGGTTCCTCATTCTTCACCAGCCTCAGGAAAGGTCTGATCACCCAGGCCTGTCTCTGGCAAGAGTTCCGCTCGGTCCATCTAGACAGGAACCCCCCTCGCCTCTAATGTTTCCTCTTAGTAATTTTCCCACTCAGCTCCTTTGCCTATAAATTTCAACTTGCCTGTGCTGTATTTGGAGTTGAGCCCAATCTCTGCCTGGCTGCAAATCCCATGGCAGTGGTCCCTATACCCATAGCAATGGTCCTAAAGAGTCTGCCTCACTATGCTTGAACAAGTACCAAGGGATGATTTTTTTTTTTTTTCCTCTAACATCTTCACCACCTTCACACAGAAGTATTCTCATTTCAAATGGATTCCCCATAACTCAGTTACGTGGTTGTTCTGTATTCCAAATTAAGCTACAAGTATGAAAAACTACACATCAGATTTCCTCTACAGATCACAACTGAGCGATCTCCTCAACAGACCCCCTCCTGGGCTGCTTGGAAAGAGTGGGTAAGGGTGCTGAAGTGGGCTGGGGGGTGTTCTTTCTTAAATGTACTTTGGTGGGTACATTTTTCTGCTCTCCATCCCCACTTCCAGTCTGCCCTGAAGGGGGCAAATGATGAATGCTAGTGCCTTGTCAACCATCCATGTAACCTTCTTTGCCTTTGCCAACTCTCTCTCTCTCCCCCCCCCCCCCCCCCCCTCCCCCCCCCCGACAAGCTATCTGCTGTTTTGAGACTGCAGCTGCCTGAATGGTGCCCCACCTGTCCAGGAAAGCTACAAGTTGAAGCAGCTCCAGCCCTGGAGTGCCAGGCCTTTGTGTAAGGCATTGAGTTGCTGAGCAGAAGCAATTTAAAACCGGTTCCACCAGTGCAGCAAGGAGCCGGATTCAACTCCTCCTAGGTTTCTCCAAGTATGACAGACACAAACAGCCAGTTTCCTTTAAGGAGTCACAGGAAAGGTCAGTTTAGACGAGTGGCAGAGGGAAGACACCGATGGGAACCATTGGATGTGTTGACACATAAGCATAATGTACTGGGGAGAATGCCATGATGTAGGTGGAAAACCCTCTAAGCAAAAAGACTAGCAAAGAAGGCTTCCCAGGAGGGCTGACATTTAAACAGAGGTGAGAAGGAGAATTTGCCAGAAGGACGGTTTAATAAACTGAACCTTTGAAAAATGTCCTTAAAATCATAAAATTCCATTTAAGGTCCTCTACCAAGCCACGTGTGGTGGCACATACTTGTAGTCCCGGTGACTGAAGAGGCTGAGGCAGGAGGCTCACAAGTTTGAGGCCAGCCTTGGCAACTTAGTGAGATCTGTTCCAAAACAAGAAAAAGAAAAAAAGAAGATGGGGCTGGGATGCAGCTCAATGATGGAGCATCCTGGGGTTCAATCCCCAGTATTGCAAAAAGGAAAGAAAAAATAAGTTCATGCTAAAACTTAACAGTATGGACTATTGGAATATGTATTAAGACAGGAAAAAAGTCTTAGATATTTAAATATATTCCATAGAGAGTAAGGAGAAATTTTTTAATTTTTAATTTTTTGGTATCAGGGATTAAACCCAGAGCACTTAACCACTGGGCCACATCCCCCTTTTAAAAAAAAATTAATTTTTTCTTTGGAGACAGTACCTTGCTAAATTGCTTAGGGCCTTGCTAAGTTGCTGAAGCTTACTTTGAAGTTGTGGTCCTTCTGCCTGAGCCTCCCAAGTCTCTGGAAGGAGAAACTTTTAAAGAAAATTCTGATGAAACATTTCCTACCAATAGTTGAAATAGTATATTAATAAATGTAACTATCTGAATTATAATAAAATTATTTGAAAATCATAAAACAAACTATTTAAAACTAAGGGCTCTCTGACTTAAAAAAAGCATAGTCAAGCTTACATATAAATATTTCAGGCATTCAAATAATGCTTATTTCTTTTATTTATTAATAAGCATATTCACAGGTATGAGAGAAAATAGAGTATGGGAATAAATAGGACTCAAAACAAACTGTTAATATTGCACCTAGTAATTTTACTCCTAGATATATACCTAATAGAAATAACAACATCCATATACAAAAGCTTGGAGATGGATATTCATAAAATCATTACTTACAGCAACCAAAATGAGAAACAGCCCACATGTCTGTCAATTGATAAATGGATAAATAAATATGACACTTTTATACATTGGGATGTTATTGTCAATAAAAGGTAAGTACTGCCAGCAACAGTGGCACACACCTGTAATCCAGGTGTAAGGAGGATTGCAAGTTCGAGGTCAGCCACAGAAATTCAGCAAGACCCTGCCTCAAAATAAAAATTAAAGAGAGGGGGGACACTGGGTGTATACCTCAGTAGCAGAGCACCCCTGGGTTCAATTCCCAGTACCAAAAAAAAAAAAAGGAAAATATCAGTGATATATACTACATACTACAAAATGGATAAACCTTGAAAACATATGAAAGACATCAGTCACAAAGATCACATACTTCATGATTCCATTTATGCAAAAAGTCCACAAGGGGCAAATTTATAGAGATATAAGACCATTAGTATTTGCCTGTATCTGGGCAGGATGAGGGTGGGGCTCAAGATAGGGAGTGACTGTCAACAGGTAGGGGAATCATTTTGGGGTGATGAAATGTTTTAAACCTAGATTGTACTGGTGGCTACACAATTCGGTGGATGTATTAAAACCACCGAATTGCATCTTTAATTTGGAAAACTTCATTATATGTGAATTATATCTCAGTAAAGATGCTTAAAGGAAAGTTCACTGCATTAAATTAAAAATATGTGTGTGGGGGGGGCGCTGGGGTTGTGGCTCAGGAGCAGAGCGCTTGCCTAGCGCATGCAAGGCATTGGATTCGATCCTCAGCACCACATAAAAATAAGTAAATAAAATAAAGGTATTGTGTCCAACTACAACTAAAAATTTTTTTTAAAAAGTGTGTGTGTGTGTGTGTGTGTGTGTGTGTTTGGCTTCTATATTTAACTGAAATTGAGCACAGCTGACACTAGGTTAGACCACCAACATGCAGTGTGACAGAAATCAATGGGAAAGAAGAAGTGTAAAAAAGACTTGACCAGGCTTTGCAGAAGGAACTGATTGATGCTTAACAACAAAAACCATTAACACAAATTAAAGGTGAGTTCTGAATGCCAAATCTAGACACTAGACACATATGAACAAGTTTCCCTGAAATCAGCTGCATAGAGCTATTTAGCACATACTGCTCTCTGTGGAAAACACAGCTGCCACCAGACAAACAAAAGTAATTTCACTGAACAGGTTAGTTCCACATTCTTTTCCCACAGAAAGTTAAGAATTCGGGTACTAGAAAAAAGATGCAATTTCCAGAGACAAAATGTCAGGCCTGAAGTTCAGCAGTCTCAAAATATACCACAAGAGCTCTAATGACCCCCAGTGGTTACAACTGAGATTGCTTGGTTTATGATACGTGAGACAAGAACGTAATGCACACAGCAATTACTAATATGGGGTTCCACCTATTATTTTCTTATCTTGAAAGCAGTAAAGTTTGAGTAAAAGTAAACATAGCAAATGACTGTCATAAATGTCCCTTCCCCTGATTTCTACGCATGAACTAAAGAGCCCATTTCGCTGTAGCCTGTCCACAGCCTGGTTCAGCAGAGCCAGGAAGGTGTTTGTCTCCTTCCAGTTGACTGGTCAGGGTGAGTCAGTTCACAACCTGTTTTGCACCTGCAGATGCAGGAGAAGCTGACAAATGAGAAGAGAAGAGAAATGGCTGATCAAGTGAGATAGGCAGGGAAAGTGGAAAAACATAGGGGGAGGCAGGTTGCAAACTGAAACAAGCCAGTTTGGTCATGAACAACTCTCAGATACTTTTTGGTAGCTGCCTAAGAACCAGAAGGTTAGCCTCACCACTAGGTTATATGGAAAGCAACTAACACCAAATGATGCCATTCCTAGGGTTTCACTAAACAGACCTTAGTAAATAAATATAAACCACTTGTAGAGTCCCCTGTGCAGGCTTGATGAAGCTTCTATCTGCTGGGTGAGAGTTTCATCCAATTGAGAAAGAACAGTGTTCTATCAACAGCATCCTATTGTTACTCTAGTAACCCAAGACTGATCCAAGGTCATTTATTTGGGGATGAAGCCTGGGAAACCACACACACAACTTTTCACTGGCCCAGCTGGAGTCTTCGCTCAGGTCCAAGTGCACTGAAGTATATAAATATCCTCCTCTCTCCTGTATTTCCGTCAGTCCATACCACTTGAATATCCCCAATTTCACGAGAGTCTATGTCTAACACAGTTAACAAGGCATTGGTTGCCCATACAACAGAGGTCTGATATTTGCTCTAATAATAACTAAAGCATTGGGACCCTTCCAACCTAGAAAGAACTAATGACCCCTAGAGTATTAATTCCCAATCAGAACACTAGCTGCCCCTGGGTATCATTTCAACTAACAAATGTAATGCTGTCTATGCTGCGTTATTTGAAAGTAAATTACAGATAGAACACCAGGGAAGGGGAAGAGTAGGGGCGGGACCCATTGGCCACCACTGTCCATTGCTGTCTACTTCGGCCACATCCCTTTATGTCACTGCCATTGTCCGTGCTCATGTATATTTCAGATCCATCATTTAATAATCATTTACAAGTGTCTAGCTGTGTACCAGCTATCCTGCCTGTATGACACTTCCAAGGAAAATTTAATAATCCAAGAACATATTAAAAATTCACTGGCTGAAGCCACTAACAAATTTTGCAAAAACAAAACAGCTTCATAATGGTGTGATGGTGTTCATACCCCCCCCCCATGGCTTCGTTGCAGCCTCAAGGAGGAAACAAGCATTTGAAGAGTCTGTAGATAAACCTTCAAGTATTAATTGTGTGATTTTTTAATAGAGAAAAAAAGACTCGTAAAGGTTATATACACATTTTACAATGTTTTGTTTTCTTTAAGGACCAATGGTAATTACATCATTAAGCAACCAATTTACCTTAATTGTGATTTAGTGCATCGTAAAAGAATTGTGAATAAGAATTCTTGACGTTGTTTGTTGGTCCAGAGGTCAAACCAATGACTTATCAAAGCAACTCTTTCCTGAAAGAGCTGTAAGGGGGGGAAAATGATATTTTACTGTACCTTTATATACATTCTTAGTTGCTAAGCAATCTTCAGATGATCCACTAACAACCTCCCAGCTAATATTTGCATAGCACTTTACAATTCACAGGGTGCTTTCATGAATGTGTAGGGGTCTCTCCTTTCGGCTTAAACTGTTTTTATCCAGGGATAAGAGGAGCCTGGGCTTGTTGGGTAGGCTGCTGGGAAGGGTGGTGGGGATGTAATTACAGAGAAGGAGGGAAAACAAAAAGGTAGTGTGAACTGGCTCTTGTTTTTAACCTAGACTACCATGACCCAGGGAAACAGATTCCACACGTTTTTGTCTTGAAAACACATATATGAAAAAAAAAATGTGCAGTATCTCTAGCAATTAGAGAAAAGCAAATCAAAACTACACTGAGATTTCATCTCACTCCAATCAGAATGGCAACTACCAAAAAATATAAGCAACAATAAATGTTGGCGAGGATATGGAAAAAAAGGGTACACTCATACATTGTTGGTAGGACAGCAAATTGGTGCAACTACTCTGGAAAGCAGTTTAAAAATTCCTTTAAAATTAGGAATTAAATCATCCTTTGACCCATTTATCCCACTCCTCAGCATATATCCAAATGATTTAAAATCAGCATCCCACAATAACACAGCCACATCAATGTTTATAGCATCACAATTCATAATAGCTAAGCTATGGAGCCAAACTTGGTGCCCTTCAACAGGTGAATGGATAAAGAAAATGTGGTACATAGACACAATGAAGTATTACTCAGCCATAAAGGATAACTTTATGACATTTATTAGTAAATGGATGAATCTGGAGGCTATGATGCTAAGTGAAATAAGCCAATCCCCCAAAATCAAAGGTTGAATATTTTTGTTGATATGTAGAAGCCAAACCACATAAATAAGGGAGCGTGAGAAGAAGAGAAGTTCAGTACATTAGACAAAGCAGAATGTAGGGAAGGGAAGGGGATAGGAATAGGAGACAGTAAAATGAATCGGACATAATTTTCACACACACACACATATATATATACATATATATAAATTTAAAAAACTTAGCAAATTCATCATTGTATATACCCAGAAGAATGGGGTCCTGATTAGAATAAGATATAAAAATGCATGTGTAATTTTATCAAAACAATTCTACTGTCATGTATAACTAAAAAGAACCAATAAAAATAACTTTCTAATTATTAAAAAAGAAAGAAAGAAAACACATATAGGCCTCACTCATTCCATTGCTAAAATAGATTCATTTAAGTAGATATGAATTATTGATCCACAGCCATGGATTTTCATAACACTCATGAAACTGACCATGAATAATTATTATAAAATGCTATTGTTAGTTGTGTCTCTAAGACAGTGTTCCCAAAGACCAGTGTCCCCAAAACTGGGTTCCAGTCCAGCTTTGCTAGATAGGCATATACAAACTCACTGTCTTTATTACAGGTCAGGCTTTAATCCCAGCCAGTCTATTCTTCCCTTGTAAAAGAGGTTGAGCCCACGTGAGCTCTGAGGACCCACTATGCTAGCTCCATTAATGCCTTGCAGACTGCCCTCCACCATTCGATGACTTCTTCCTGAATTATTGTTCAAGGGACGGGCATCGCCAGGCCACATAGAACCATATGGTTGGCACCAGAGAGAAGGAGTATTAAGGACACAGTGAGACATACACGCACACACCCTCACCACCACCACCCAGAGCATCTTCTTTCCTTCTCATTCCCCATTACCGCAAACCACAGGTGTCCTGGGGATCTCTATTTTGACTCTGGAAGCACAGAATAAGATGGGAGGCAGATTGGGAGACTTGCAACAAAGCTAGAATTGTTTTTGTTTAAACTGACTCAAAAACTAAATTCTTTAGAGGATTTTCTTTAAAAGTATGACAACGTAAGACTCACTATTTGTAACTCACCATGTAACTCACCTGTCTATTTAGTGACTTGTTGCTAAAAGGTGTCCAGGCACTGAACCTTGTTTGCAAGCTCTCCATTTCCAGGGTTTTCCAGGAAGAATCCCCAACTGACATCACAGCAAACTAGGAACTACAGGTACATTTCAATAAATGTATAATTTAAGCTGACTTAGAAAAATCCAATACAGCAGGCACAGTGGTACACCCCTGTAATCTCAACTACATAGGAGGCTGAGGGAGGAGGATCGCAAGTCTGAGGCCAGCCTGGGAAACTTAGCCAGGAAACTTACCCTGTCTTGAAATAAAAAATAAAATGGGCCAAAGATATATCTCAATGTCAGAGTGCCCCTGGATTCAATCCTAATACTGGAAAACAAAATAGAAAAGAAAGAAAGAAAAATTATAATGTATAATTATACTGTACACACTTAATACATTAATGCTGTCCCTGTAGGAATTTTAGAATTAGAACATATATTTTAGAATTAGAATAATCCCTTTGTATGTATAAACTGTTTATAAAATTATAGTTCATGGAAGCATATGTATATGAATATACACACAGAGGATGAACCACATAAATATACACTGAGTCCATGGATTCCTAATCACTGCAATTATTCTGGCCTTACCTACTTGCAAACAAATCTAAACCTAAATAAAAGTTCTTTTTTACTTTGCCGGAAAATGGAAGAGTAGTGAATATGTTTCAGAAAATGCTATTAATAACTCAGACATTGGTATAATTTTTTTTTTTTTGAGGGGATAGAACCTGAGGACTAATGCTAAGCAAGTGCTCTGACACTAAGCTATATCCCCAACCCAAAGCATGGTTTGTTATCTGCTAGGAAGACTGACTTTTTCTTTCCTTGGAAAGCAAAAATTTGAAGTATTCAAACAGGACACCCTACCTACCCATCTTTTAGGGACATAAGTCAGAGAGGATATAAAGGGGGAAATTAGGTTCATGTATTAGTCATCTATTGCTGCATAACAAATGATTCCAAAGTTTAACAGCTCAAAATGACAAGCATTTATAACCTCAAAGTCCTGAGGGTCAAGAATCTAGGTGCAGCTTAATGAGTACTATATTAGTTTGCTGGGTCTGCCAAAAAGAAAAAAAAAATCCACAGAACAAGTGGTTTAAAAAACAGAAATTTATTTTCTCTCAGTTCAGGAGGCTAGATGTCCAAAATCAAATGCCATCAATGTTGGCTTCCTAGCTTGTGGATAGCCACTTTATCACTATGTCCCCACACAACCTTTCTTCTGTTGAAAAACCAGCCTCTACCTCAGAGCAAAGCCTGTTCAAGGAAGGGACATGACCTTTGTCCTTGGAAAGACCCACAGAGCACTCCTAGGCACATTCCCACCCTGCTAAATTGTTTATCTACAAATGAAATCTGCTGCGCCAGGTGTCCCTGACTTAGGCTAGGTGGGGACCCATAGCAACCCCCTAACAGCCACCAATCAGCATGAGACAGGGAAATAGCTGGGATGTCAGATGACCCTCCCAGTAGTTTACAGTGTTGGGAAACCACATAGTTCAGCACGAACACCCCTCTTAGCTTAAACCAATCAATTCAAATGAATCCCCCTCTTGTAGTAACCAATCACCCCTACCCAACTTGTTCCCGCCAGTAAATGTGCTAATCATGTTTTAGAGCTCTTATTTGATTTTCCCTCGGTGTGTGATGATTTGCTAAGAGATGCTATGATGTATGTGGGGGTCCCTGCCTTCTCCAAAGAATGTATAAAACTGCTGCAAACCCTGGGCTCAGGGCCTCTCAGCGTCACCAGTTGCTGTGTGCGCGTGGAGGACCAAGCTAGCTCGCAATAAACACCTCTTTGCTGCTTACATCGATCTTGGGTCTCTGGTGGTCTTTTGGGGGTCCTGAATTTGAGCATAACACTGTGTGTACACAAAGGGAAAGGGGTAACTTTGTAAACTGGGCCCACTGTACTGACCAACCCCCACATGTTTTCTTTTGAAAAACAATTTACCTGCAGCCCTTCCTGGCTTCAGCCAATAGACAGACTACATTCCTCAGCAAAAGACCTGTTGTCTGCAGGAGAAATGCGGGACCCCAAGGCTCCTTCCTGCTGATAAGAACACAAGTTACCGTGAAGTGGGAGACTTTCTTTATACAGACCAGATTCCACGACTGAAGGAGACAAGATAATTAAAAGTAAAACCCCCTAACCATTAAATCTGTAAAAAAAAAAAAAAATTCCAATTGGAACCAGTCATCAAGGTGACCCAGAGTTGCCTTGGATCTTGAGATTTTATAGTAAAATCTCCCCTTCATGAGGTAATACCATATGCACTGGAGACTTGAAAGTCTGATGCAATCCTACTATCAGTCAAAAGTCAAGAGGAAGACCTGGGCAGACTCTTTGGAAACTTCCTTGGGAACCCCCAAAAAATAGGAGAGTAGGAGAGGTGAGCCATCACTCTCCTCTCTGATAGGACCTACTCTCTCCTTTGAGAGCTTCCCCCTTTCCCCTTTCCTGTCCCTTCTAATAAACTCATGCCTGCCATTATGTGCATCTTGCCCAAATTCCTTCTAATATGGTCTCAAGAACCAGTGACAGAGGACATCCATGGTTGCTTCAGCTCCACATAGGTTCTCGTTCTGCAAAAGTATCAGGACCTATTTATTATAAAGCTAGTGTAAACTGGGTGCAGTGGCAGGAGGAGCACAGGTTCAAGGTCAGTCTCAGAAACTCAGTGAGGCCCTGACAATTTAGCAAGATCCTGTCTCAAAAAACAAATAAATAAAATAAAATAAAAATAAAAGGACAGGGGATGCATCCAAGTTTGGACAGGGGTGTCCAAGCACCCATGAGTTCAATCTCCCAACCCTTGCAAATAAAGCAAAAATAAATAAACAAATAAAACTAGTGTAACTAAAAACATGAAACACTGGCACAAGAATAGACAAGTAAACCAATGGAAGAGATAATTGAGTCCAGAAACAGGCCATATATGTATGGACACTTGATTTATGACCAAGGTGGCACTCAGAGTAGTGGAAAAGATGAGTCAGTGAAACATGGAGTAGAACAACTGCCCAGAGCAGCCCTGCTGGCCTCAGAATCATCAGAAATGATCACTAATGCTTTACAATACTACATTTTGGGGTACTTTGTTAATCAGAAACAACAACAACAACAAATTAGGGGTAAATTATTACCATAATTGAAGCACATGGTACTGCCATTGGAACTGAAAGGGTGGTGAGGAGACTGCTTAGTGGAGTTGAGGAGAGCAGTCAAATTGCTAGGAAAGGATAAGCCACAAGAAGTCTTGCATTTTGTAGCAGTTTAGTAACACAACTGCCTGTGTTATTGTGGATGATAGAAAGGGTACCAATGAATATGTAGGGCTGACTAGAGAGATTCCAAGCTGATTAAACGAAGTGCTGATGGAATTATTGAGCTCCATATGGTAAAGTCTAGTAGGAGAGAGATGAACCAACCTGAAAGATCTGTTTAGTGTGGGGCAAATGTTAGTGGAAATAGACTATCTAGCACAGTCTCCATCAGACAAAAGTATCTCAGAGTAATAAATGGCCTTATGTGGGGAGCCATTTGTGAAAAACACATGAGGATCTTCTCTTGGCTAGAAGCCAGGAAGATTTTAGGTTTAACCTTCGGAACTATGGTGGCTCTCATATGCAATAGATTGCCCAAGGCATATGACCTTTATCTTTGCTCCGCTAGGAAGATCTCTGTGATGGTGGCTCCAGAGATGGGCAAAACCAGTTGGGAACTGGACAGCCCACCTTTAACATTTTTTGGAAAAGAACATTCTATGAAAGGCCTCCAATATCCCCCGATATATATAAATCAGGCGCAGGCTCCATTTTGCCATAGAATAAAAGCTCGATCCGTGTATCAGCTTGTCTGTCCCACCCCTGCTTTTGAAAATATTTTCTGTGTCCTGTGGTTCTTTCCCATTCTATTTTTCCTAGCTTTTATTTCTCAGTCAGCCCATTCCACCAAGGGGAACCCCAGCCCCTTGGGGCAAAGATCAAATGAAGGGTGTGGTTGTAAGACTCCTTATTAAAAAAATTTCAGCTGATTCCTCATAAACTCTCATTTAGGGGTGAAAAACATTTCCTAAGAATCTTAGCATTTTTGTTCCACATACCCAGTTTCACAGCCCAAGTCAGAGAAGAACCTATCTCATAAGGAGTTTTGGATTTAGCTTGTGTTGAAGGAAAATAATTACAATTAGATACATACAAAACCCATAAAATTGTCAAGAGGGTAGTTCTGCTGAAAGTATGATCAGCTTATAATAAAGCTACCAACATTGTTTGAAATAAAAATCTCCAAGCCACCATAGTAATCTGTGTGTCTCTGGAGAGAGATAACTTGTTTTTTTAAGATCACAGGTCTCCAGATCAGGAGGAATTGTGGACAAGGAGAGTTATTTACAGTTGGATCTGATGCAGATCACAAGAGACTGGACCTTCAAGCCTAATTCTATAATTGGATGAGACTTTGAATGTCTCAGGGTAGAGTAAATGTATTCTGTACGCTAAAGGCATGTGAAGGCAAAAGGTAATTTGTTTCCTTATGTAGGGCCAGGAAAAACTGCACCCATTCCTGTACCTCCATATCAGTTATCCCATCAGGAGGTGGAGTCTGTTCCTCTCCCTCCCCTTAAATCAGCCCTCGTAATGATTTATTGTAACCAATAACATGTCATGAAAGTGATCATGTATAACTTCCAGGTACAGCCTTAAGAAGACTTGCAGCTTCTATTTTTGTACAGTTGCAAGGTGAATAAATCCTGGCTTGGATTCTGAATGATGAGAGATCACACTGGGAGAGAGAGGCTAAACTACCCCCCAGCTGTTTCAGCTATCCCCAAGTGCTAGATGCATGAGTGCAGTCATCTTGGATATTTCAGTTCCAACCAAGCTCTTAAGTGAATGCACCACATGAATCACCCCAGCCAACAACACAGGAAGTGAAAGAACTGCTCAGCTGAGGGCAGCCAACCCATAGAATTGTGGGAAATAAATGATTTCTGTTTCATGCTGCTAAAATTTGGAATGATTGTTTTCAAGTATAGACTGATCAAACCATGCGTTGGTGAACATGCAGAGCTTTCAGCTGGTAAAAATGAAAATTGGTATTAAGTACTTTGGAAAATTGTTTGGTATTATTTCATAAAGTTGAACATATGCATTTACTTACCCCAACAGAAAAAGGTACACATTTGGATTAAAATATATCAACAAGAATATTTATAGCTAAACTGGATAGCCCCAAAATAGAAACAATCCAAGCATCAGTCAACAGTTGAATGGATAAATATATTGTAATTAAATCATGTAACAGAACTCTGTTCATCAAAAAAAAAAAAAAAAAAAAAAAAAAAAACCTGTTAAAAAAAAAAAAAAAAAAAAAAAAAATGAAGGACCTGGATAAATCATGCACATATCACATTAAACAAAAGAAGCTAGGAGCAAAATAATTCATTTTATATGGATCCATCCATACAAACTTCTAGCATTACAATGTAAAAGTTAAGATAGAGATTAGTTTTGGGTGGAAAGAGGGTAATGTTTAGGAGAGGGCATAAGAGGTGACTCTGGGTGCTGCTACTGATCTACAGATGGGAACCCAGGTCCACTCACTTTATAATTCATTGAGCTCTACACTCATGATTGGCATATATTTCTAAATCCTCTATTTTGATCAATAAGTGTATAAAATGATTCAGTTTAAAACTTCAAGAAATATAAATTTTATAAAGAAAATTGTTAAACTTTATTAAAAATCTTTTTTTTTTCCTTTTGATACTGGGGATTGAACTTAAGTGTGCTCTACCCATGAGCTACATCCCCAACACTTTTTTGGTGGGGAGGGGACTAGGCATTGAATTCAAGGGAACTTTACCACTGAGCTACAACCTCATTCTTTAATAATTTTATTTTGAGATAGGTTCTTGTTAAATTGCAGAGGCTGGTTCCAGCTTGCAATCCTCTTGCCTCAGCCTCCCAAGTAGCTGTGATTATACATGTATGCCACTGCACCCTGTTTTGAACAACATATTTGGAGTAAATGGAGAGATATGGCTTGTTCCTAGAGGACTCATTAGAGTGAAGAAATTAATTCTCTCAAATTGATCCACCAACTCAATGCAATCTTGGTAAAAACAGTCCTAAAATATATTACTGTGGAGTGTGCATGTGGTGTGTGCACACACACATGCACATGTGTATGCATATGTGATTTCAAAAAACTGATTCTAAAATATTTATGGAAGTTTAAGGGCCCCAAAATACACAATAGCTAAGCTATGGAACCAACCCTAGGTGCCCTTGAACAAACGAATGGATAAAGAAAATGTTGCATATATACACAGTAGAATAAAAAGAATTTATAACTTTTGTTAATAAATGGATGGATCTGGAGACTATCATGCTAAGTGAAATAAGCCAATCCCCAACAAGCAAGGCTGAATGTTTTATGACATGTGGATGCTAACACACAATAGTATGGGGGCAGGGTAGAAATTCACTGGATTAGGCAAAGGGGAATGAAGGGAAGGGAGGGGTTGGGAATAGTAAAGATAGAAGAGTGAATCAGACATAATTTTCCTATGTTCATACATAAATACATGACCAGTGAAACTCCACATCATGTACAACCACGAGAATGGGATCCTAATTAGAAAAAGTTATACTCCGTGAATGTATAATGTGTCAAAATACACTCTAGTGTCATGTATATCTAATAAGGAGCCCCAAATTGTCAAGACAATATGAAGGACAAGGGAGGAAGAAGTGTTTGCCGATATCGAAACTTACTTTGAAGTCATAGTAATAAGATGATGTGGCATTAGTTTGGGGGTGACACCTATAGCAGTGGAGTAGAAGTGTCAAAACAACATGGGTTACACTTACTGGTTGACAAATCAAGAGGTAGAGTTTTCCATTTAGGGGAAACAGATTTTCTGTCTAAAAAGGAAGAAAGAAATTTGACCCTTTCTCACACTTACACTGACAAGCATCAACTATCTAAAGGCTTTTCATATATACATAATCAATTACACATAGTTTGTGAATCG